GAGAAAACTGGTAGGTTATACATATATAAAAAATATTATAACTATATGATATATATATAAATTATTAGCCATTTATATGATATTAAAGTAATTCTAGATTATGTAAAATTATATTGAGATATTAATTTTATATTACCACAACTATAGTCAAAATCTTACTCGTTTTTTTATTTTTATTTTCACTCATAAATGTGTAAAGACTACTGGGTATAGCGGCATCTTTTTAAGCATTATATAAATTCATGTTGTTTAATGGTATGAAAGATTTTCTATAATAAAAAAAATATAAATAGAGTTCAAAGTTTAATAATTTAATAATGTAGCTGAAAAAAAAAAACAAAAATAAACTAATAAGAATTGAAATTGAATTTATAATTCGGGCAACTCGCAGGTCTTTAATTCGAGTCGGCTGGACTAGTAACTTTGGGTTATAATTCAGGTCCTGGCGCGGCATGCCCTTTGGGCAGATTTTTCAGCCACAACTTGAGCATGGACTTGGCAACCCTCCTTAACCCGAACCCGAACTCGCTCGAGTTATCGAGCCCTACCACAAAGCAACTTGATCGGAGCTTAAATATTTTTAAAGATTGAACTATATAGCTTTATTAAGTGAAAGAAACCTATGCAAAAATTTAAAAATTTAAAATTAAATTATGAGTTGGACTTGAGCAGAAACACCAATTAATCAAAGCCTAGCAACGACCAAAAGAAAATTATATATATAAATATATAAATTATTGCCTATTTATTTTTTAAGATAGATAAGTGATGAGCTAAATCAATTAAAAATGTAATATTAATGAACAACAAGAAAAAGGCAATATTACTTAAAATTTCAATAGAAATTTTTCTTAAAATATTTAAAAAATACACTTTTTAAAAAGGGATCATCAGATATAAAAAAAAAATTACTTTTTATAAATGGCATAGTAATTGTAAATTTATGATTTTTGAAATTATTTTTAATTAAAAATTACAACTAAACATATTAAATAGAATAAAAATAAATTTCATTACAAAATAGAAGTATTTTGAATAAAAAAAAAGTAAGAAATTTAAAAATTTAATATGGTCATTTTCATTTTAATCTGAAAATAATTCTAATGAACAATAAATTAGTTATTTAAAACAGTGTAATATATTATTATGGGAATAAAACAAATCAATTTAATTTAAATATTAAATATTAAAATTTTATTCACCTTTTATATTTCTAGTGCCACTCAAATCTTGAATTTTAGAAAATGAATTCCATACAACTTTCTACTTTTTTATTTGTCATAATACTTTTGCCACATGAAAGTCCATAAAAATCAAGACGATTGTTAATTAATGTAACTAATTTAGGAAAATTATTATTATATATTTATTCCTAATTTGCTTGAATGAGAGCTGATAGAGCGATTTTTTTAATTATTTAAATAAAAAAAATTAGAAACATTTTAGTTTAGATTGCTAGTTAAAAACTCTTTTGGTCCTTTATCTTATCATAATATATAGATAGATAGTGATTAGATATATGATAGTATTAATATTATTTGCATATTGTTTTAAGTAGTATTTTTTTAAAATTTTTTTTATAAAAATAATTTAACAATCCCTTTTCTAGCTCGATAGTGTATCAGTAGGTATGAGAGAAGTCAAAAAAAATGAGTTAGAAGAAGCAATAAATGTTGATTTTTTTTTTTTGTAAAATTCAAAAATTTTGAAAAATTAAGATTGAATATTGGAAGGGTGTTTGTGGATTAAAAAACCTCCATTTTTCTTATATAATATATAATATATAATATAGAGAGAGAGAGAGAGAGAGAGAGAGATAGGCAATGTGTGCAGATGGTGACCAATAATTTGAAGCTGTGATAGAGAGCTTTGAAGAGAAAATCTGCAGCGGGTGGCGGTTTAACACTAAGGGCTGGTTTGGCATAGACTATATAATCATCTTTTTATCTTTTTTCTATCACATCACCTCTCTACTGTTTTGCACATCTTTTTATAAAAAAAATAAAAAATACACTTTTTTAAGACACCCCAAACCAACCCTAAAACCGAGCCAAGTCGACCCGTGAACATGTGTATGTGTGTGTGTGAAAAGCCAATTCCAATTTTGACATCCCATGTTGGCCCTCCAGTAGAAAAGGCAGGTCACAAAACTCAACCAGAGTGGTGACCCTTACATCAGCAAAGACGCAACTTCAGTTCCAAAATTCAAAAGAATCAAACAATCTGAATTTCGGCTAGAGGCAACAACAAAGGAACAATGCAAAAAAGACAGTAGTCAAGAAGAGTTGCCCAAAAAATTTCTAATGCTGTGTTTGGCAAGCTATGGTGGTTCTTCTGTATCCTACTCTGTCCTCAAATTCATATCAATTGGTTCATCAGATCAATCCTTGCAATTACAAGAAATTCAATTCCCTTCTAGTGATAATGGTGACTGCTTCGGGATGGGTTTTGGAGTCGAATTTCTTGTAATTACCCAGGTATGATTTTAAATTTTGCATAACAATTTTGTTTCTAAATCATTTTCGTTTTTTTGGCCACCAAGAACATATAAATTTGACCCGACAACTCCAAAACCCATCCCCAAGCAGTCACCATCATTACTAGAAGGGAATTGAATTTCTTGTAATTACAAGGATTGATGAACCAATTGATATGAATTTGAGGACAGAGTAAGAAACAGAAGAACCACCATAGCTTGCCAAACACAGCATTAGAAATTTTTTTGCAACTCTTCTTGATTCCTGTCTTTTTTGCATTGTTCCTTTGTTGTTGCCTCTGGCCGAAATTCAGATTGTTTGATGCTTTTGAATTTTGGAACTGAAGTTGCGTCTGTGCTGATGTAATGGTCACCACTCTGGTTGAGTTTTGTGACCTGCGTTTTCTACTGGGGGCCAACAGAGTCCAGATCCCTACCGTGGTGTCAAAAGGACATCGTTTTGACAATAAATTGAAAAAAAAAAGTTTCCTGCTCCTTTTGCGTTTCTCCTTCAATCGTTGAGACAGCCCTAACCCTCAAGAGAGGCGGACTCGAATGGCTCCTCCGACGCAGAGGAGGGTGGGCGACGGCGACTCCGGAGGCGACAGCGACTGCAACTAGGCGAGATGAGGCGGCGGTGAGGTATCCTATTCCATCTTCATTCTCATGTGGTGCTTAAATATGTATGTATATAAATGATTTATATGTATATATATATATATATGTGTATATGATTTATTGATTTGAATTTCTTGGTGCTTTCGTAAATAGGTTTGATTTCTAGGAGTTTGCTCCCCTCTTTTCCTTTCTCTCTCATCAGTTTCAAAGCCCTAATCAGTTTCAAAGAACAGAGGAATGGTCTGAACTGAACCCCCTCCATCGATTCTTTGTCTTCCCTTTCCATCCAATCTTCTATGGCGTCAATGTCTTGATTTGTTGCCAAAGATTGCAGATTGCAGCCTCACCATGCTCTTTACAAGCAAAACTATTTGCTTACCTGTAAGGAAGATTGAATCCACAAAAATAGTGGAAAAGATGAGTGATTGGGGTAAGGTAATCCATCTTCCTGTGTTGTCAAAATTGCACATATGATGTGTATGTAGTTAGGCATCAATGAATTGTGTTAGTATAATGTTCATTTCTTAGTTTACTGTTTGATTGAGCTGATTCACAATTGTTGTTTTTATTGAATGAAATTGTTATATGTCTCAAACCAGAGCAGTTCAATTTTTTCCACTTCACATGAGTGTGTGTGTGTCATTGGAAATTAATTTTGTTAAATCTATAATTATGAACATTAGGGTTGAAGCCATAGACACAATAGTGATGAATTTGTTGTGATGTGTTAATTTGGGCTTTTTTTTTTTTGTTCTTTCTTCTCCTCTTCTTTTTGCAGGGTTGAAGCCGAACTAAGTGTACTATTATCAATTTGGAGATCATTCTATACCAGCAATGAGTAATGTGTCCTACAAATGCAACACAAAGAAGTGATGGAATTATAAGAGAAAGAGTTGTGCTACAAAGTGAACTTATAAGATACGGAGAGTGTTAGTGAATAGCTTTGATTTTTGACCGCGAAGATGCAACAAGCAATAAACTTTTGATTGTATAATTGGTGTTACTTGTAATTGATATTATTTTAATTATGAAGAAGTAACTATGTTTCAATGTTGTAATTGACTAGTTTGATTCTTGAAATGGTTGGGAATGTAGAACTTCTGAAAATTGTGAAATTTGAAATGTTGTTGCTATTATTGAAATAGTTGGGAATTTAGAAGTTTTGAAAATTGTTGATTTTGAAATGTTGTTGCTATTATTGAAATGGTTGGGAATGTATATCAGTGCTGTTCTTGCCATCTTGACAGATATTAAGGCTTTTTGATGATTGTCCAAATGCATAGATGGAATGCCATAGAAACAACCAAGTTCACTCCAGGTGAGAATTTTATTGGAAAAAACAAACAGTCCAGTGTAATGCTGGAAAACTTTAAGCAGTCTTCATCCTTAGTTTATCATTCAGTCAATTAACACAAGGTTGAAATCAATTAACATCAAGGCAATTAAATCGTAACATTTTGTCAATTAACATAATAAGGCTGAAATCAATTAACATTCAATTAATTAATTGTTCATATCAAGGATTTTAGTTTGAACATAAGGCTGAAATTACCAAAACAACATCCAACTAAAATAACATCTAACTAAACCAAAACATTGTATCTTTCATCGCATCAGTGCGTCATTTGAAGGACCTTCATCTACTTGACTGTCAGCAAGATTGTTTTAGGCTTGAGATGTGAGTCTTGAATTGCAAAGTGACGAACACTTGAATCTTAAATCAACTCCTAGAAGAATGTGGGAGCAACATCCCCAATTTCGACTTCCAACAATAATTGTCCAACTCATTAATAATATTGTTCCATTACCTACAAAAGCACAAGGATTTCAATTATCAATGATTTGAATTAAAATGGAAACCCCAATTTCAATAAAAATGATTCAAAAAATTTACAACAAAAATGATAAAAGAGTTTTAGCAACATCAGTGATTTAACCGTCATTATGTCATTGCAAAGAAACAATAAAATATTTAAATATAAATAAGGATCAATTTAAGAATAATAGTCTGATCATTGAAAACCAATTAAGTCAAAATAAATATATTGGCTTCTAACCACAATTGTTCAACTCATCATCAATCACAATTTTTTTTTTTTTTTTTTTTTTTGAACAGACCAAAGAAAATTGTGATTGTTTTTCTCTGTGATTGTTTTTCTAAGAAGCATTTTATCAAACAGGTTAGCTTCAAAGCTCACAGCTATATGCTTTATAGTTCTAAGAAGAGTTTTGTCAAATCAAATCTCATAGTTATGTGTTTTGGAGTTCTAAGAAGCATTTTGTCAAACAGTTTAACTTCATCCTATATATATATATATATGTTTGTATGTGTATGAGTTATGAGAGAGATACAGTCACAGTGAAACTAGGAACTCAGAAAATTACAAATCAAATATGAAAAATATTATAGGAAAAGCCATATTATATTTGCTTTAACAAATCCCATGCAGGTCCCTCTTGTTCAAACAATGTAATTGGAGAAATCTCAATTTTTTTTATAGATACAGAGTGATTTGGAGAATCAAAAATTAATATGCTTAGATGAAAAATCATACATACAATTTGATTTTTGGATTCCTATTTTTTGGAAGGAGAAATCGTAAAGGGGAAAAGAGGGGAAAAAACCCCCTAGAAATCAAACCCATTTATGAAATCAACAAGAAATTCAAATCAAGAAATCATATACATATATATATACATATAAATCATATATATATATTAATCCGCCTACTCCACACAATATTATTAAATACAATGGTTTAGTCATTTCCATATTATTAAATACAATGGTTTAGTCATTTTTGATAATCGCACTACTCCACACAATCGTAATCATCATCATAATCATCTTAATCCGCCTCTTTTGGTATCAGAGCCAAGTTGTTGATATGTTGAGTTATTGTTGTGTTATCCTCCTGATTAATTCTTCTCTTTCTTTTCTATTTAATTGAATTCTAGTCTCCTGATTCTTTTCACTTATCTATTTCCACTTTGTCAGTAGCAACCCACATTTCGTCCTAATTCAGTGTAAGTCCTTAGGTTCAGGCAGTCGAAGGATATAGGGGTTCCCGGAAAGGGTACGAGTGAACACATAGTATGTGAAAACATGATAAGTTGTAATTGAATTTTGGAATTTTGGAATTTAATTTTATAGATTTAAAATGAGTAGATTATTCAGAAGTAACTCTTCCATTAGCTCTCGATCTACAACTTTAACTTCTATGCCTAATACAGACTTAGTAATCAATGAAGAAGAACATGAATATCAAGATGTTAAAATTGATTTAAGCTGGAATATCCCAACAGTTAAAACTAAAGAAATTTACCGAACTAGTTTTTTAAAATCTACTTTTAATGTTGATCATACTACTATTCTACTCGTCTAAAATTGATTTAAGCTGGAATATCCCAACAGTTAAAACTAAAGAAATTTACCGAACTAGTTTTTTAAAATCTACTTTTAATGTTGATCTTCAAGTCAAAACTGTTGAATATGTTTATGCTTTAACAAAAATTCGAGAAACCTGCCAATTGTTATCTAAAGCATCTATCCAAAACATCTCAAAGATGGTCATAATTTTATTCACTTAGGATTAGTCCAGGTCGGACTTAACCCATTAACTCAACAAATTAAAAATACTTTTGTTCTTTTATGTTTAAGAGATGCACGATTTATTAATTATCATGCTAGTGTTATAGGAATGATGGAATCTGGTCTTCATAAAGGTCCTGCCCATTTTAACTGCTTTCCTGATTTTCCTTTAAGTCTTCGTGATCCTCATATACTTAAAGCTTTGACATTAAACATTCAATTATTTGGTGAATTTACTAACATGTTAGAAAATGTCCATAATATTTCTTTAGTTTATCGAATCTATTACAAATGCATTAAAACCAATCTAAATGTTCAAGCTTTGCGGAAAAGCCCCAAAGATAAATCATTACTTATTCAAGGAAGTACAACTGAAACAAATATTTCTGTTCCTAAAATGATTACTTGGAAAGATATTAATCTCCCTGATGATTGGGTTACAGTCAATGAAAATTATTCCCAAAATCAACAATCCTCTACTAGTCATGATATTCAAAATATCCAACAATTCAATGATGCTTCTGTCCATATTAGATTTAATAGACCTTCTAGTCAATTTCTCGTCATAGTACCTCTAGCTTACCTACTGAAACTGATGAAAATGAAATCTTCAATACCCCTTTATTTACCAGAAGCGATAGAAAACTTAATCTTAATGAACCTTATTTTCAATCCCAACATACACATAGTAAATTAAAAGGAATTGATAACTCCTTTACTTATCAAATTAGCAAACCAGTTTACTCTACTCACACACATCTTCAAGAAGAAGATACTGTTTCTCAAGACTCCCCCACTCAAACTGATTTTGAAGTAGTTCCTCCTGTTAACCCACAATTATTAACTTTCAGTAAACCCTTTACTCCAAACCTTAACAAACTACATGATGAATTTAAATCCAAAGCCAATAAGTTAAAAAGACAAGATTATAGGAATACTTATGATACAAAACAACAATCTAAAATTACCAAAAAATAGTATAAATTTATGATCGAAATTAATACTAAAATTAATTTCTTTGATTATTTAGAAAACTATTATCAAAAAATAAATGTTATTACCAAAACTAAATGGAAAACTTCTCCTACCACTTTTATTTCATCTAGTCATTCTCCGTTAGAAACCATTCTAATTGAACACAAAGGTGTTGTAGTTAATGCTTCTCCTTTTAAAATTCCTGGTGATGAATCTGAAATTAAAAAAGTTATTGAACAAAATAATTACACCAATCAATGTTTAAAAACTATTGGTAAGCAACTAGATAAAATTGAAACTTCCTTTGAAGACTATTCTACTAGTCATACTTCTGTAAGTAAACCATTAGATAAACCACTTATTAATCTTCCTAGTACTAGAAAACGATTAAGCCTAGTTACTCAAGATCATACTACTGTTGATGCTATTGAAAAAATATTTAGCAAAATGTCTACATCTATAAGTAAAGGAATTACTGTCTTAACAGAACAACCGCCATTAGAATTTCCCAGTCATTCTGATACATCTATTGATAATGAAATTAATCATTTGACACAACAATTTCAACCTTCTAATCTTAATAGGATTACACATCCTAAAGTTAATCCTACCACTCTTACCAAAAATTGGTACACTAAACCTACACCTCCGGATCTCCAATTTGAAGAAACCAATATCATCAATCAATTCTCTGTTTTTGCCAAAAAATTATATAAACGAAATATAGATGGTCTTACTGAATACCAAATTTTACAAAAACTCAATCATTTGTCTATGGTTTCCAATAGTTACCTTACAAATTATCTTGATTATACCCAATCTGAAATAGTAATCTTAATCATTACTGGATTTACTGGTATACTCAAATCTTGGTGGGATAAATATCTTACTCCCGATCAAAGAGAATCTATACAATATGTTGTTCAAATGAATGATGAAGGTTTTCCTATCTTTGATGAAGAAATAGGTTCAACTATACCTGATGGTATTAATACTTTAATATATACAATAGTCAAACATTTTATTGGAACACCTACGAATATTCATTCTCGTATCTATGATCAATTAAGGAACCTAACCTGTCCTACTTTAAGTGATTTTAGGTGGTATAAAGATGTTTTTACCTCTCGAGTAATGCTTAAGGATGATTGCACCAAGTCATTTTGGAAAGAAAAATTTATTAATGGATTACCCAGCCTTTTTGCCCATAAAATTAGGGATGTCCTTAGTCAATCTACTGGTATTATAGAATATGATAATTTAACCTATGGTGATATTATTAGCACTATTCAAAAAGAAGGATTAAAAACGTGTATTGATCTGAAACTTAGTCAAAAAGCTGCTAAAGAGAAACATAAAGCTAAATATGAATTAGGTAATTTCTGTGAACAATATGGTCTACCTCCCGCAGCTCCTTCACGATGAAAAACTAGTAAAAACAAAAACACAAATTCTTCTAAATACCCCACTAAATATAAAAAGAAACATTACCCTTCTAAATCCACTGATAAGTATTATACTAACCCAAAAAAGAAATACCATAAGAAA